ACCCCGCTTCGCCCAAGGGCCGGGCGGATGTGCGGCCCGGGAAAGGGCCAGAGGAGGCCGGCGGGCCAGAAATAGCTCCAGCGCTGGACGGGCCCCAGCAGCCCGGACCTCCGCCGGAGCCCGGGCGGCCGCCCCGGGGCCCCGCGGCCCCGCCCCGCGCGGGCGCAGCGACGGCCCGCCCACCGCGCGCGGGGCCCGGGGCCCGGACAGAGAGCTTGGCGCCCGGGCTGCGCCTTCCGGGACCCGGGCCTGCCCTCCCCGCGGCGGCTCCGACGCGCCCGACACCGGTCTCCCTCCCGGACAGGCCCGCGCGGGGCTGCGGCCGGGACCCGTGGACGCGGGCTCCCGGGCGCCCCCGGAGCCACCGATCGGGTCTCACTCGGCAGCCGGGCCCCGCGGCGCACTCACCTACCGCTCGTCGGAGTCCCAGCCGGGCGGAGGCTCGCGGGGGCGGCGGCTCCGGACGCCGAGAATGCGCGGCCCCGGGTTACGGAGACACGCCCCGGCACGCCCCGCCCCGACCGCGCGTCACAGGCCCCGCCCCGACAGACGGCCCCGCCCACTGCGTGAGCCCCGCCCACGGCCGGCCGGCGCCGGGCGGGTCCGGACTCGCGCTGCGGCTGGCGGGCCGGAGTCGGCGGGGCGGGGCGTCGGCCTGGGGACGCCCCCAGCTCAGCGAGCCCCCGTCCCCGAAGCCGGAGGCTGGGCCCGGCGTCGGCCCCGCCCCCGGAGGCACTGACGACCGCCTGGGGCGGTGGGCGTCGGGCGGGCTCGGGAGGATCCGGGGTCGGGGCCCGGCGCTGGGAGTGAGGTCCGGCCGGGCTGGATGGTTACCGCCGGGCTCCGGCCCGCACACGGGCTGGCCGCGACTGCGAGCTGATGAGAACGCACTCGTTGCTCTTGGGGGATGCGGCGGGGAAGGAAGCCAGGTCCCTGGAGCCTTCCAGACCCTTCCTGCGTGGCTGGGGCTTGAGCGCAGGCTGCCAGCCCTCCTCCGACCCAGCTTCTGGCCAGCTTGTCCTGGCCGTGGTCTCCGGGGCTTTCCCCCCCGGGCTAGCTCTGAACCGCTATCCCCTACCTAAGCCTCCGGAGCAGAGCTAGATTACAGGTGTGCGCCCCAGATTCCTGGCTTGGAGCTTGAGCTTTGGTGGGTGGTGAGGCCTCAGAGCACGGCAGAGACCCTAAGAGATCACACCCGCAGATGTGCGCCCAGCGCGCAGAGCCACGAGCCACGTGTGCAGGCCACAGACACGCAAAGGCCAACGACAGGGCCTTCGGTGGGCTTTATTGGACAGAAGGCTTTGCTGCTGTTGTCTTCCTTCAGGCAGGGAGCCAGGTAGAGCGCACCCAAGCGCATGAGCCCATCCCAGAAACTCCTTCAAGACGCAGCTCCTCCAGGTAACACACAGGGAGTCGCGTGTCCTGATGGTCAGGCACTGGGAAGGTGGCCGGAGCCTCGTCTGGGGGGCCCAGCCCAGCCACGGCGGCAGCAGCAGCAGCAGCAGCAGCAGCAGGGCCCGGGTGCTCCGGCTGTGGCCAGGACCTTCCTGGGGCTGCTTCCCAGTAGCCCCGCCTCACACGCATCCCTCTCATCCCGCAGCCTCGTGTTCAGCTCCCTGTGGAGGACGGTGTGAGGTCTGAGAAGGCCGAGGGGCTAAGATCTCGGGGTCGGAGATATGGGGTGGGCCCTCGGGCCTGAGCGGTGGAGGGCAGACATAGAGCAAGCACTTCCTCCTACAACGGGGCCCAA